AAGTAATCAAACCAAACAAATTTTTCCAAAAAAATTTCTCAAAACTTGTAAACCAAACAAGTTTTCCAAACAAATTTCTCTCTCACACACATCAAATCAATTACTTTTTCCAAAACTCTCTTTCAAAATAATTTTTCAAAACATCTTTTGAAAAAAATCAAACCAAACAACTTTTCGTACTTTTTATCTCTAAAACACATCTCTCAAATACAAACCAAACATTTGAAATCTAATGTTTGAAACATTCATCCTATAATTTCAAACATTATTGAAATCTGATGAACATTAGATGTTTGAAATCTATGTTTGAAACATTAATCTGATGTTTGAAACATTGTAATGGGACCTTTCAGTCTATAAGAAAACTTTTAGGACTAAACAGTGTATAAGTTATTAATTTGGGATTTATTGGTGCATCCCCCATTTTTTTTCCCTTATCATTCCTGGATAGTTGATTATGTAAGCAGTATATGATTTATTTATTTTTTTAAATTTGAAATTTTTGTAGATTATATTTAGGGTGTGTTTGGTAACGTTTATGTTTTCAGTTTATATTTACAAAAATTTTATAAACTGGTTTTTGTTTATTTTTTGTTTATTTTTACACCACCGTCTTTTGTCGCCACTTGCCGCCACTTGTCATTTCTCACTTTTTTTATATTTTTAAATTTTTTTAAACATTTTGTCAATTACCAAACGCGTTTGTAGTTTATGTTTTTTTAAAAATAAACAAAAAATAAGCAAAAATCAGTTTATAAAATTTTTGAAAATATAAATTGAAAACGTAAACGTTATCAAACACATCAGTGTTACCAAACGACACTACAGTAACTTGACTTTTGAAGAAAATTGCTTTTACATTAAATTTATATAAAAGTACATCTTAGATGATGTAGTGATGACATTTTTTAAATTACGCATCATATTGGTCACATTTAGTAACATTTTTTTTTTTTGAAAAAAAAAAAAAAAAAAAACTTATTTGATGTGATGTACTTTATAATATATTCCATACACAATTTCTCTTTAGTTTTCATTAAAAGAGAGAGAAAATTGTGTCGCTTCAAATTTTTTTTTTAAACATCATAAGATTTAAATAACGATAACTTACTAAATAAAGTTTTAACTACTAATTAGGAACTTTTAAGTTCTTACATAGTCAAAGTCCAACAACAAAATAAAACTACAAGTTCACACACAACGTCACAACATAGTTAAATCCTAATACAAGGGATAACAAGATTTTATTTTGATAAAATCTTAACTTTAAGTCAGCCAAGATTCGATATTGGCAGCAGCTCCAATTTCAGCCTCAATCCCTTCTTCGACATAATCTGGCATGAAACGCCAGGGCAACAAAATATATGCCATGAGTTTTGCAACACAGTAAGAAAACGTAACCAACCTACCATTCTTTTTAAGAGAAAAATTATAATATTCTAAACATGAAATAACAATATAATTATACACAGAAATTACAACCATTAGAATAATTTCAGTAATTTTAATAAATTAGATGACACTCGAAATCTCACCAAAGAGATTTAACTTACCTACCACTAAGCATGGCAACGGTTAATTTGAAACCCTCCATTGGTCAAATATTTAAGTGTTACCAACCGTGACTACTAGGGATGTCCACGTCCGGAGTTATATACCCAAGTGGTGGCATCCGTGGTCTGCCCCAAGGAAACGGTCTGCCAGGGGTAAGTAACCTCCCTGTGTGCCACCTGCACATCCACCCTTATTCCAAAGCCGAATACCTAAAAGGGGTCAAATAAGTCCCGTGCCATCTTAGAGTTTCGCAACACAATTTACGTGAGAATTCTCAAAACCAGGGCTCACCTTGAACAACGGGCAACAAAATATATGCCATGAGTTTTGCAACACAGTAAGAAAACGTAACCAACCTACCATTCTTTTTAAGAGACAAATAATAATATTCTAAACATGAGATAACAATATAATTATACACAGAAATTACAACCATTAGAATAGTTTCAGTAATTTTAATAATTTAGGTGACACTCGAAATCTCACCAAAGAGATTTAACTTACCAACCACTAAGCATGGCAACGGTTAATTTGAAACCCTCCCTTGGTCAAATATTTAAGTGTTACCAACCATAACTACCAGAGATGCCCACGTCCGGATTTATATACTCAAGTAGTGGCATCCGTGGTCTGCCCCAAGGAAACGGTCTGCCAGGGGTAAGTAATCTCCCTGTGTGCCACCTGCACATCCACCCTTATTCCAAAACTGAATACCGAAAAGGAGTCAAATAAGTCCCGTGCCATCTTAGAGTTTCGCAACACAATTTACGTGAGAATTCTCAAAACCAGGGCTCACCCTGAACAACCGGTGTTAACCGTCAACTCTTAATTCCGTACAGTCTTTAAACCAAAGCTCACCCCGAACAACTGGTATTAACCGTCAAATGTTAACTTTGTATATGCCGTTAATTATATATTTTCAGTTAATTTTGATATTAATCACAAATAATTCCAAATTTTTAATCACAAGTAATGTTATACCAACTCATTAAAATTCCCAATCATAAAATATTGCATGTGTCACACAATACTAAATAAAAGTACAGAATTTAAATAAACAATTTATTTAAACCATGGTATGAAATAATAACTTAGATACAAGAATTAAACCATAAATACACACATGCACAAATTTTTGATTTACAAAATTAGACTAGCATAATATTAAAGTGGTGATTTTATCATGTCTAGAAAAATTTTCAGAGTATATATCTTGCAAATAAAATTATAAATACATTACTTATATAACTTTAAAATTCATATCAATCTACAGGATACTCAATAAACATGTTATGGTTATTTTTCAGAAAGTATTTTCCAAAAATAACTTATAAATAATTCTAAACAAATTCCAAGGGTGTTTATGACACAGATTTGTCACAATTCCTTACATTAATTCCATGCTTAAATTTATAGATCAAACCCACAATCTAAAAATTTATCATGAAATTAGACTTCTCAAATTTCATATTTTAGTTAGAAATTACCAGATTTGGTTTAGTATAGAATTTTAAATAAATTTTCAAATACATGGTAAAATCTGTCTCACAGTTTCAGATTTAGTTAGAAATTTGTATAAATTTGTAGAAAGCTCAAAAATTGTTACCAGAATTCCTGGACGAACTAGACATCATTATCAACAACTTTGTAGAAGAAACCTTCTCGAAATTTTGAGTATAAAATTGTCTAAAAATTCAAGTGACATTCTGGCAGATTCGAAATAGACTATTTTCATCACAGTTTCAGATTTAGTTAAAATTTTGTATAAATTCGTAGAAAGCTCAAAAATTGTTACCAAAATTTCTGGACGAACTAGACATCATTATCAACAACTTTGTAGAGAAATCTTCTCGAAATTTTGAATATAAAATTGTCTAAAAATTCGAGTGACATTTTGGCAGATTCAAAATAGACTATTTTCATCACAGTTTCAGATTTAGTTAAAATTTTGTATAAATTCGTAGAAAGCTCAAAAATTGTTACCAAAATTTTCTAGATAAACAAGGCATCATTATCAACAACTTTGTAGAAGAAATCATCTCGAAATTTTGAGTATAAAATTGTCTAAAAATTCGAGTGACATTCTGACAGATTCAAAATAGACTATTTTCATCACAGTTTCAGATTTAGTTAAAATTTTGTATAAATTCGTAGAAAGCTCAAAAATTGTTACCAAAATTTTCTGGAAAGACTAGGCATCATTATCAACAACTTTCTAGAAGAAATCATCTCGAAATTTTGAGTATAAAATTATCTAAAAATTCGGGTAACATGCTGGCAAATTCAAAACAGATTATCCTCAATACAGTTTAGACAATGTATCATATGTATACAATCTGAAAATTTCAATTATGTAAAAAAAATGAGAGGATTGAGAGGGTCTTCTTACTTAGTTGTAGGGTTGAAATGAAATAATGAAATGGTAAGAAAAATATGCAATCTCAACCTCCTCCCCTTCTTCCACAAGAATTCCCTCTATTTGGATGTATATGGTTTATTCTTTGCCCAGAAAATATGAACTTTCTGTGCATGCTACTAGGTGCATTGTATAGACTCTCTCCGTGACTAGCGCTCTCTCTCACACACATTCTTTTCATTAATAAAACCATTCCCTTTCTCCAAGTTCTAAGAATAGGCTTTCTCTAATTTCTTTGCTCACTTTCTCCAAATTCTATGGCTTTCCCTAAATCTTAAGAAAACTAATGGTTTATGGTTCCCATATCACCATGCAAATAGCCACGCAATTTTTTTTTTTATAACAATAATTATTGAACATCCATAACATTTTTATTCTTAATAAGGCCTTTGTTAGTGATAGAATTGGGTTAATTTAAAACTAATTTTTACACTAATATACAATTCAGATAGAGTGTAGACAAAATTAATTAATTAATTAATTTTTTTTAAAGAATAATTAAAAGATGGGTTTTCACAAAAATAGCTTAACATGATAATTATAATTATAATTATATGATTTTATTTATTGTTCCGTAATGTGTTTTTTAAAATCTATTTCTCGTTGGCCATTAGTTTCGTGATGAACAATTGATTTTTTTACAAATAATTTATACATAAAATCTTGAAAAATACACGAACCGGTTATAAAATGGGCCTTGTGTTGGCCTAAATGGACCAACAAGATGATCCAATCCGAAGACAACTCATTTTCAAAATTTTATTTTTTTATATTATTACTCGGTAGTTGGCCGACCATCTATCCTACAATTGAATTATCAAGAGACATTTTACCAAATTATCTTTCACTAAATAATCTCTAGCAAATATAAATTATATGTACCCTCACTAAATAATTGAGTTCTCAAAGTACGAAACATCAGTGAAATGAGCATTTAAAAATATAAAAAAAAAAATATATAAATAAGAATAAGAAATCAATACAAGTGTCAACAGCATACAAATAGAATAATCCATCCAAAACAAAAAAATAATGAAAAATAAAAATCATTATACTATGAACTGATGGAAGTTGGGAGAGTCAGATGAATTTAAATTCATGTAATAGCTGGAATTGAAAATTTTGTACACACAATAATTTGATAACAAATACTAATTACTAAAGATCATAACCTTTCATTTCCTCACTATCTTCTTCTTTGTGCTAACTATTGTTTGTTCATCTTCAAATTTAGTAATTCCAGAGACAATCAAGATCCACAGGCCCAGTTGAAGTAATTGGATCATCTTGATCTTCGTAACACCTCTGACCCATCTCATGGTACGACACAACCGACGACATATCGGTGCTCGTGCCAGCGTCAGGCGAGAATTCAGCATTGAAATGTCTATTCTGCTCATTGTTTTGAACCAAAAACCTGAATATAGACTGATCCTGAATCAAACCACAATCTGGGTACTCAAAATTTTCAAGATTTGGCAGAAATTGAGTGGAACAGAGTGTGTCTGAAACAGAGGCTTTGGAACAGAGCAGTGAAACAGTGGAGGGCTTTGAAGCAGAGCAAAAGGAGGGTAGAAAAGGGTTGTTGAAGCTGTCAACAATGCCAGACTCTGATTTCTTGTGCTCCGTCAGATCGGAGAAGCAGAACACGTGGGAGGTATCGGCGGCTGTGCTTCTTGTCCTGTCATCATGAGCAGAGCAGTCTAACAGGGGAGGTAAATTTGAAGGCTGTGATTTTTCTCCATAACTGCTCATTCTAGTCAACCCTGAAATGTGTATCTTCTTCCCACTTGAACTCTTATGAAAAACTCTGGAAATCACCCATTCATTCTGAAAAACAATACAAAAACATTAAGAGGGATACTCTACAAACAGAAAAAGTAAAGAGAAGGACTACCACATCATTCTAGTGAATAAATATGTATAAAAATCATGAAATAATAGTATTTTCCAAACATAAATAGCATAAGGAAAGAACCAATAATGCTAAGAAGACAAAAATCAAACATTAGATTGGATATATAAACCATATGAATGCACAACATTTTACAAGATTTATTAGTAGGATCCACTTCTCAAAAATCTTATCCATTCATTTATTTTCTGGGCCGGTGTGTAAGCCGGAAAGAATAGAGAGAAAGCAAGAGAAACTTGAGGAAAACAAAGTTAGAAGTAGGCATCCAAAATCTCTATCCTCCTGTATCTAATGCACGCAACACGATTATATTTGGAGACTCGTGTTTTGAGATTCTGACCACGCCGTGCATTGGCAACAAGGAAAGAGATTTTAGAGACGAAGGATCTCTGACAGGACGAGCTTTTACCTTGGCGGTTTTAGGCATGCTGTATGGGGAATACTTGCCCTCCAACCTATACTCATGCATGACCCAATTGCTTTTCTCTCCTTTTGGAGCCCTCCCTTTGTAGAATACCAGAGTTTTCTTCATTCCAACCAGGGTTTTCACCCTGTAAATCTCCTTATCTTTCCCTGTAGCCTTCCAGTAACCAGCATCGGTAGCCCTGTTTGTCCTCAAACCAGTTGGGTACTTCCTATCTCTAACACAGAAGAAATACCATTCTCTTTCGCCCATTTTCGCTCTCCCTTCATTTTTCAAAAAAATCAAAAATCAACAATTTAAAACACCCTAAAACGAAAACTCAAGAAAGAATAGAAAACAAGAGAGAAAAACAAGACTTACAAGGCAAATCCCAAGGCTCAACCTTGTTCAAATCGACATCACTGATAGCTAGTGCATAGAAGCTGCTGTCAAGGACTTTTTGGGAGAGGTAGTGAGTGATAAGCTCTTCGTCGGTTGGGTGGAATCGAAAACCCGGTGGCAATTCCAATTCCAACTCCTTTTCCATACCCTATCTCCTTTTCCTAAAATCCTTTGTTTCACAGATCAAAGTGATAAGGTTTTTTCTGAATTGTATATGAGCTTCTCTTTTCTTTTTTCTTTTTTCTTTTTTTGTGATAAATATGCTAAAAAGGAAATTAAATCCTTTGTTTCACAGATCAAAGTGAGAAGGTTTTTTCTGAATTGTATATGAGCTTCTCTTTTTTTTTCTTTCTTTTTTCTTTTTTTGATAAAGAAGCTAAAAAGGAAATTAACTTAAACCCAGATCTTAAAACCTCCAAAGTTGAAATGGTCTTATCAAAAGATTACTAGAATGTAGTAGTTGGGGAAAAAAAAAACAGAAGAATTCGAAGGAGTGGTTATGTATGAAACAGAGGAAAAAACAGAAGAATTATATGAACTTTGAATGAATACGAAAAGCCAGAGATAAAGGGAAGTGAGGCAAAAAAGAGAGAAAATCTTGTAACAGAAGAATTGAAAAAATTGAAAGATGTTGTTAAGAAAAGAAATGTTCGTAGGAACACAAATCCATAAATAGTGGTTTTTTTGGAGAGAGAAACGTGGTTTGTAAGGCAACTTGGTGTTGGGCACTGGCCAGTTTCGAACTTTCATCTCTCTCTTTTAACTTTTCTCGGAAAGTGCTTTCTGAGTCGGTGGGGTCTACGGTTCCATTTTAATCACTGAGGCGTTGGTTTATTTATTTATTTTTTATTTTTTTACTTTTTTTTTTAAAAAAAATGTGTAAAAAATGATGTGCCTCAAAACGATTTAAAAGTTGAAAATTGACTTTTAATCCATTTTTCAAAAGAGGCCTCATTCGTTTATTTTCTTGATTTATGGGTAAATTATTCAAAAAAAAAAAAAGTGATAATTATTGTACAAATTCGATAATTATAATTATATATTCATTATGCTTGCTTTTAAAAAAAATGATTGTAGTTTTAAAATTATATGATTAATCATTTGGCTGCTTTTATTAGATTTTTTTTTTACTAACAGTACACGTAGGCCTTCTTGGTGTAACTTATTGAAGTAATTTATAACTTTTTTATTTTTTTTGAGAAATTGTACATGATATAACTTTTGCTTATTACATATAAAACAAAATTAGTTTTAAAAAACTGAAAAGAGTTGATTATTTGAAACTAGAAGAGGTGTGTTTCTATTTTTTTACTTATCAACTTTTAATTTAGAAAACATATCACTAAATATGCCCATAAAACCTACAAAATGAACAAATAGAATCATCAAAATGAGATTTTAAATAAGTTTCACGAGTTCAAACAATACTGTTTAATTCAATTAGATTTTTTTTTTCTTCTCTATTTCTCTTCTTCTCGATTTGACCAGGAACAACTCAACTTATGTTCTAATTACTTAGTTGATGAATTCTAATCATCATAATTAATATTATTAGGTAAAAGAAGAAATTCAAAAGGTTTGAAAATAACTGTGTTAGTTGTCATTTGTTGGACCAATGTTATCTACTGTGCAATATGAACTAATTTTAAAGTTATCTGTCAAATTCTTTTCATACCAAGAAGGCACACATCTCCCTCCCAGCAAATCTGTTGTCATTACCACTGTCTGAATATAATATAAAAAATAAAATTATTTTTATTTTTAATAATTTAAACCTTTATATAAGTTTGTGGTCAAAAAACCAAAAAAACAGATGTTATGTTTGAATCTCACCATCATGGGCGGAGCCAAGATCCTCTTGGTGGGGAATGAAAGCAAGATTTTGAAAAAATTTAAAAAGTCGAGTCCATTGCTTAAAATTTCTTAAAATCCTAAATTAAACGTTAAAATGAGATCTTATTTCAGTAAATTTTTAAATATGAAAGTTTTTTATACATTAAATTTTTAATGATTTCTGATAAGTCTTAAGTGATGAATTAATAACTTAATAATTGAGGCAAGAAATTTTTTTCTCATGGTAAGAAAGTGTGCATTAGCCTTATTGTAAATAAAATAGGAGAAGACCAATCATTTCGTTATCAATTTTATATGATTACTTTCTACAGATGGACTGGACTTAAGTGCTGAGGTGTGGTAGCCAGGCATGCATGCAGGCAGGCCCTAGTCCAGTCACCCATTCAACCCTATAATCAATTTATGAAATCAACCATTCTCAACTCGTGCTTGATTCATGAACTTAAGAAAATATTTGAAAAAAGAAAGGAAATTTCACCTATATTATACACATTTTTTTTTTTTAGCAAATTACTAAGAAGTTTTCTTTGAAAAAAGTATAATCTATTTAGTCCCATAACCTTTTGTTTATACTCAAAAGTCTTATAACATTTTTCTTCTTCTCTGCCTTTTTCGTTCTTTATGATTTTCGACGATTGTCGACGGACAATTACATCTTACTTTTTCTCTTTTTCTTTATGATATATAGTTACTACTAACTGACGACTGCCATTGATTAAGGTTCACTAGCAATCATCGACCGCCGACTCTTTACTTCACCCTCACCGACGGTGAAGAAGATATGTTTCCAACGAATAAGATGAGTAGATCTACTTAGATCTGATGTAGATCTACATCAAATCTGAGTAGATCAAAACAAAAAATAGTTGCCGAAGTACAATCCTCTCTCTATATCTGCTTCTTTCTTTCGTTCTCTTAATTTTTTTTACATTTTCTCTGCTATATACTTCTTTTTTTTTATTTTAATGGAGAAAATTTTCAAGTTTTGAACAATTTGTTTTCGAGTTTTGGGAGTTGTTTGGGATATCTTAAATAAGTGCACTTTTTGTCTTTTTGGACTAAAAAGTTGAGAAAAAAAAATATGAATGTTTGGGTTAACTTTTTGACTTTTTATGGAAAAATGTGTATTAAAAAATTATATAAATAAGTGTATAGGAGAAGTTAGTGATGGAATAGACCGTACGGTCGGAAGGCGTAGGGGCAGTGTGGCATAGTGTAGGGTAAGAGACGATTCTCTCCTTTTTCGGGCATAAATTGGACGGTGCTGTTCGGTCTATGGGAGCCCACCACGAGTCCCGTTTTTCTAATCGGAATCGTTCAATGTGTAGAACTCGTCGAGTACTATATGCTTGTAAAAAATCACATTGATCGGATATCGATAGCTATCTGATTGGGTTTTTTTTTTTAACCGTTAACTATAACACTATCCACTTTTTGTACAAAACTAATTTGATCATATAGTTAGCGATATCCGACCAATGTGTTTTTTTATAAGCATATAGTATTCAACGAGTTCTACACATTGAACAGTTTAGATTATTAAAATGGGACCCGTGATGGCCCCTACGGGCTGAACAACACAGTCCCTAAGCTTGTCGCCGCCTGTGTAATTTATCCTCACCAAAGTCAGGCAAAGACGCCTTCCGTCAGAGTGAGTTGTCTCACAATTTGTATAAAAATAAATTTTTTATATATTTTTTTTTGTGAATAGTGAAAACTTTTTAACTTTTTTAGTAACTTTTGACTTTTTGACTTTTTTGTAAGTTGCCAAACCAGCCCTTAGTTACAGACGGTGAAAATTGTAACAAAATGAACAAATAGAATCATCAAAATGAGATTTTAAATAAGTTTCACGAGTTCAAACAATACTGTTTAATTCAATTAGATTTTTTTTTTCTTCTCTATTTCTCTTCTTCTCGATTTGACCAGGAACAACTCAACTTATGTTCTAATTACTTAGTTGATGAATTCTAATCATCATAATTAATATTATTAGGTAAAAGAAGAAATTCAAAAGGTTTGAAAATAACTGTGTTAGTTGTCATTTGTTGGTCCAATGCTATCTACTGTGCAATATGAACTAATTTTAAAGTTATCTGTCAAATTCTTTTCATACCAAGAAGGCACACATCTCCCTCCCAGCAAATCTGTTGTCATTACCACTGTCTGAATATAATATAAAAAATAAAATTATTTTTATTTTTAATAATTTAAACCTTTATATAAGTTTGTGGTCAAAAAACCAAAAAAACAGATGTTATGTTTGAATCTCACCATCATGGGCGGAGCCAAGATCCTCTTGGTGGGGAATGAAAGCAAGATTTTGAAAAAATTTAAAAAGTCGAGTCCATTGCTTAAAATTTCTTAAAATCCTAAATTAAACGTTAAAATGAGATCTTATTTCAGTAAATTTTTAAATATGAAAGTTTTTTATACATTAAATTTTTAATAATTTCTGATAAGTCTTAAGTGATGAATTAATAACTTAATAATTGAGGCAAGAAATTTTTTTCTCATGGTAAGAAAGTGTGCATTAGCCTTATTGTAAATAAAATAGGAGAAGACCAATCATTTCGTTATCAATTTTATATGATTACTTTCTACAGATGGACTGGACTTAAGTGCTGAGGTGTGGTAGCCAGGCATGCATGCAGGCAGGCCCTAGTCTAGTCACCCATTCAACCCTATAATCAATTTATGAAATCAACCATTCTCAACTCGTGCTTCATTCATGAACTTAAGAAAATATTTGAAAAAAGAAAGGAAATTTCACCTATATTATACACATTTTTTTTTTAGCAAATTACTAAGAAGTTTTCTTTGGAAAACGTATAATCTATTTAGTCCCATAACCTTTTATTTATACTCAAAAGTCTTATAACATTTTTCTTCTTCTCTGCCTCTTTCGCTTTTTATGATTTTCGACGATCGTCGACGGGCAATTACATCTTACTTTTTCTCTTTTTCTTTATGATATAGAGTTACTACTAACTGATGACTGCCATTGATTAAGGTTCACTAGCAATCACCAACCGCCGACTCTTTACTTCACTCTCACCGACGATGAAGAAGATATATTTCCGACGAATAAGATGAGTAGATCTACTTAGATCTGATGTAGATCTACATCAAATCTGAATAGATCAAAACAAAAAATAGTTGCCGAAATGCAATCCTCTCTCTATATCTGCTTCTTTCTTTCGATCTCTTAATTTTTCTATATTTTTTTTGCTATACACTTCTTTTTTTTTTTTTTTAATGGAGAAAATTTTCAAGTTTTGAACAATTTGTTTTCGAGTTTTGGGGGTTGTTTGGGGTATCTTAAATAAGTGCACTTTTTATCTTTTTGGACTAAAAAGTTGAGAAAAGAAAATATGAATGTTTGGGTTAACTTTTTGACTTTTTATGAAAAAATGTGCATTAAAAAATTATATAAATAAGTGTATATGAGAAGTTAGTGATAGAATAGGCCGTACGGTCGGAAGGCGTAAGGGGCAGTGTGGCAGAGTGTAGGGTAGGAGATGATTCTCTCCTTTTTCGGGCATAAATTGGACGGTGCTGTTCGGCCTATGGGAGCCCACCACGGGTCCCGTTTTTCTAATCGGAATCATTCAATGTGTAGAACTCGTCGAGTACTATATGCTTGTAAAAAATCACATTGATCGGATATCGATAGCTATCTGATTGGTTTTTTTTTTTAACCGTTAACTACAACACCATCCACTTTTTATACAAAACTAATTTGATCATACAGTTAGCGATATCCGACCATTGTGATTTTTTATAAGCATATAGTATTCAACGAGTTCTACACATTGAACAGTTTAGATTATTAAAATGGGACCCGTGATGGCCCCCACGGGCCGAAC